TGGCCGTCGCCAGAGGCTCGGCGGGCTCGCTTCGGCCCGCTGGCTGGCCGCCAGCTAAACAGGGCCTCGCTCGAGTTTAGGGGTTTAGGGGTTTAGGGTTTAGGGGTTTAGGGGTTTAGGGGTTAAGGGGTTAGGGTTTAGGGGTTTAGGGGTTTAGGGGTTTAGGGGTTTAGGGGTTTAGGGTTTAGGCTAAACCCATCGCGTTTAGCCTCGATTTTCTTGCAGCCGGATCTCTGGTTGGTGGCAATGCCTCCTCCAAAGACTGCGAACTGGCAAAGCCCAACAAGCCTGAGGATTCGGTTAAGGGACACTATTTTTCACGACGGAAGAATGAAAATACAACAGGAACAACACTACTACTAGGAATACTAATGGTCATAATTATGACAATACGAAAAACAAGAATAATATGACAACCAATAAGAATCAAAATTCCAAAAGAAGCGCCAGCGAGAATTTTTTATGGCGAACGGCCTTCACGCGGACTGAGACAAGTCAAAGGCTTCAAAGCAAAAGACACAGCCTGAACTCCAGACCTCCACAGAGTGGAGCTCGAATTCCCGGTTCTAGGGTTTTAGGTTTTAGGGTTTAGGGTTGCAGGGTTTTAGGGTTTAGGGTTTCACGATTTACTGATGGGGCTAAGAGGGCTTAGGGGTGATTTTCTCCTCCACAACTCTCTGTGGGCTGCGCTGTCAATGGAAGGCGGATGATGCAAAGAATGGAACTGTTGATGGGTGTTGATGAGTAATACATGGGCCGTAAGAATTACCTACATTATTTTTGGCGGTGTTCCTTGTTATAGTTAAAGTATAATATACCCCAAAACCCTATTCCCAAGACTTCTGCCGCCAGCTCGAACACCAAAGCAAACGACCCCATCCTTCCTCTCAGACTCCAAACAGCCAAACGTCCTAAACTCAAACCCCTAAACCGCACTTTAGGACCCCGTGACTGCCAGGGCTCAGGGCCCCAAGTTATAGACCCTGAACCTTAAGATAAGGGCCTAACTCCTAAAACCCTAAAGCCCTTAATCCCCTAAAGCCCGATGCCCAAAACAGTAAAACCCAGGCCCTGAAACCCTAAAACCCTAATGCTAAGCCCTAAACCCGAAACCCCCAAAGCCCTAAAACCCCTAAACAACTAAAACCCAAAAACCCTAGGCCCTAAACCCAGGGCTTCCATAGGTAGTTCTCTAAATTTGGGTCCCCACCAAAACAGCACGGTACCGTTACAAAAAGGACCCTAAAAGGAGCCCTAATTTAGAGAATTGCTTACGTTGGTTGCGTCGGAGGGACCAAAAGTCCAGGCCCTGGATCGCCACACGAAAGCTTAAGCCATGCCTGGGCAGCTTTGCGTTTAGGGCTTTGGGTTTAGAGTTTTTGGGTTTTCGGGTTTAGGGTTTTAAGGTTTTAGGGGTTTTGAGGTTTAGTGTTTAAGGGTTCTTCAGGGTTCGTTTTACGGTTTCGGGGTCCCGGGTTTGGGGCTTAGCTTACGGGTGTGTGTTGTCTGGCTTTGGGCTTCTGGCTTTGTAGGGCTTTGGGTTTAGGGTTCAGGGTTTGTAGGGTTTAGGTTTTAGGGTTGAGGGTTTATCGGGCTTTCTGGTTTAGGGTCTTGAGATGTTTATCGGGCTTAAGGTTTAGGGCTTGGGGGCTGTAGGGGTGTGGGTTGTGGGTCTGGGGTCGAGGCCTAAGCTTAGCAAAAGAACCCAATCCTGGGATGGGAGACTGCGGGCGCGTGGGACCGTAAACCCTCAACCCTCATTGTTACAGTTGTAGCACAAGACGCCCCCAAACCTCTACTCCCAGCGCTCAGGCCCCCATATCATACTATACCCTCATGGCAACCCCAAGAAACCCTGGATAGTAGCCCTTGCTTCACACTTCGAAGAAACCTTTTTGAGCTAAGCCCTACACCCTAATATAGGGGCCGTCATAGTTAGAATAGAGTTTTGGGGTACATTCAAGTATAATTATAATGAGGAACCCTCCAAAATTGTATAGGTAGTTTTTTTATTTAAGGTCCCCAATATTTAATATTGCTCGGTTGCTTCAGGCCCCTACATGCACTTCGGGGATCCTAGATCCTGAATCCTCGTGCCGTCTTTGAGATGGGACCCCGGGCATGGGTGAGGATGTCGGGTCTGGGATTCGGGGTTTTAGGGCTTCAGGGTTTTAGGCTTCAGGGTTTAGGATTCAGGGGTTTAGGATTCTGGTTTAGGGTTTAGGTTTTAGGCTTCAGGGTTTAGGGTTTTAGGCTTCAGGATTCGAGTTTAGGGTTTAGGCTTTGGGGTTTCGCACAGCTGCACTTCCTTCTTGGGCGAGTTGGCCTCCTGCGAAAGGGCACGGCGAGTCTCACAGAAAGGGGATATGGTTGAGGGCTCATGGGATATGGAACTCATGGGACTCAAGTTGGGCAAGCGCGAGGGGGCGACGAGTACATTCACAAGCCACACTAATAGGGTCGCAACAAAATCTGAGTAGGGCATCCATACAAGGATCCTACAAAAAACGGTCGCTGCATAAGGAACTCCAAGGCTGGAAGGGGTTTAGGGTTTAGGGTTTAGGGGTTTCCCCTTGTAGTCCCGATTTACAAGGGTATAGACAAACACCCTACTCGAACTGAACGATGAAGTGCAGGCCCCGATGTCAGAAACCCTATAAAGCCGGAACAGATCCTGTTCTTCCTATCGTCTCCATTGTAGTTCCGGTTGATGGGTTACGTCATCATTTTCTAAATCTATGACTGGTGGGAACTGCACTGGAGACTATAGCTAGTTCTTATATCCTAACCCTAAACCCGAAACCCTAAACTCGAAACCCTAAACCCCTGAACCCTAAACCCCTAATCCCCTAAACTCCTAACCCCTAAACCCTAAACCCCTAAACCCCCAAACCCTAAACCCCTAAACCCCTAAACCCCTAAACCCTAAACCCGAAACCCTAAACCCCTGAACCCCTAAACCTCCTATACCAAGTGCATGACACCGACGACTAAGACTCGGAGCTCCGAGCCGTCCAGAGCTCAGCCAAACTCAAAGCTGAAAAGGCTTAACCTCGCGGGATGAAGTATATTAGAAGACTATATAGCACAGGATATTATATCATAATGCTTTGTGTTATATTATTTCATTATATTATATGTTCGACTTGGAGTGGAGAAAAGGGTTGTAAGGCTCAGGACTTCAGGACTTGGGCTTTCATCTGGGTGAAGCACACGACACCCCAATCGGTCGTCACAAGCTAGTTTCTTCTTGAGGAACTTGATTTCAGTTACCCTGGTAAGCAAACCATATTGCTTACCATAGTACGACCGTACATCAGATCCCTTCTCGGGTAACTTAAAAACAAGTTTAAGTTACCCTAACAAGAACCCAGCCAGAACTCTACACCCTAAACCCCAAACCCTAAAGCCGGCACCCCTAAACGCTAAACTCTAGTCCCTCAACCCTACACCCTAAACCCCAAACCCTAAAGCCGGAAACCGTCCTCCTTCAAGCAGTCCAGCTCGCCCGGGCTTGGAGACCCGGGCACAGTGAGCCTCGGATCGGTGTTACGCTTTGTGCAGTGCTGCTGGAGTTGGCTGCGCACTTCGACGCAGGTAATATAGGGGCCTTCATAATTAGAATAGGGTTTTGGGGCCCCTTATACTATAATTATATTAAGAAACCCCCAAAACAGATAGAGAGAGAGAGAGAGGAAGAGAGAAAAGAGAGAGAGAGAGAGAGCTCTCTGTGCTTCACACCAAAACATTCCTTGGTGCTAAGGACCTTTCAAATCATTGCTTGAAACACTGCTCGTCGGACGCCGTCGATCTGCATTCCATCGTCCAAACAGCCAATAACCTCTTGCAACCCCAATAACCCCAGCAGCCCTTACTGTATCCATAGAGTGACCGTATAGTCAAAGCCACCAAAGCCCTGGATGCGATAAGAACATCAACATCCCAGCTACTTCCGCCTTTCAAGCTCGACAGCAAACCCTCCGTGTACCGAAAGCACCTTGAGGGCCCGAAACGATCCTGCAATCGCCCTTGTTAGGATAAGCCTCGTCCTAAACCCTACACCCTGAACCCTTAAACCCAACAGGGACGCCTAAGATGCGGGGCGGAGGACAAGATGGCCAAGGGGGCCATCTGAAGAGCCATTGCCACATAGCCCAGCGTGGCGGAGGGCTGGAGGCTGCCTGGGGCTCAGGGTTTTAGGGTTTAGGGTCTTGGGGGTTTTGGGGTTTTCGGGGGTTTAGGGTTTCGGGGGTTTTGGGTTTAGGGGTTTAGGGGTTAGGGTTTAGGGTTTAGGGTTTAGGGTTCAGGGTTTTAAGGGTTTGGGCTCGCCGCTCCGAGGATTTGAAGCTTTAGAGCGTTTCTGTGAGGTTTCGGGTCTGCTGGAGTCTGGGGTTCAGGTCTTGGGGTTTAGGGGTTCAGGGTTTGGGGTTGAGGGTTCAGATTTTGGGGTTAGGGTTTAGGGTTTAAGGTTTGGGGTTTGGGGTTCAGGTTTTGGGTTTAGGGTTTAGGGTTTGGGGTTGAGGGCTGTAACGAAGTTTTGCGGCCCTGGGCTTTGAACATGAGGAATCTTCCTGTTCGAGAGTTGGTTCTTTGTGTGTCCGCTCAATTGCTCCCAGATCTAGGGATAGGTGTCAGACTAATTTACACTGGCAGACATCATCATGGAACTAGTGCTTGGGAACCTTTCTAAGTCTATAAACCCTATAACTAATATAAATCCATAAGCCCTAAACCCTGCAAGCCCTAAACCGCCCCCAGTATGCCCCCAAGACCAACTTTCAACCAGGCCTTCCGAGAAGAAGAAGCTGACCATCACGTCGTAGACCTTTCGTCGGCACTTTATAGGGTTTAACATGGGCCTTAATAATTAGAATAGGGTTTGGGGGCCATTATACTAGGATTATAATGAGGAACCCAAAATAGTACTGTTCTGTTCTGTTCTGTTCTGTTCTGTTCTGTTCTGTTCTGTTCATTTCTGTTCTGTTCTGTTCTGTTCTGTTCTGTTCTGTTCTGTTCTGTTCTGTTCTGCGGACCGTAAAGCCCTATTTGGGCGTGTCCCAAAAAATGGAGTTAAATTCTCGGTGAAACGTGATTCACAAAATAGTACTGGTACCTTATTTAGGCCCCTACATTGGGGTTTAGCTCTTCGAAGTTACACCCTGAAACCATGATAGCTTTGGGGCACCCCAGAATACTTATCATAGGTGCCGCTATAGGGCCATAAGGATGCCTAGGTACAGCTATAGGGCCATACGGATGCATTTTTAAAGCTTCCCAAACTGCCACCGAGTACTAGCCTGAAGAAAGTCTGAAACCCTAGATTCGCTCAGAGAGTCTATGGTTTTGGTGGCGGCGGACGCTTGGGGACAAGGTCGGTCCACAGAACCTCATCTCCACTGTAGTTCCTTTCTGGGATCACCTTATATAAGATCCTAAATATATGATTCGCTAAACCAAAAAATGCGGAACTACGATGGACACTAATTCACATAGAATAGGGTTTTGGGGCCCATGATGGTATAATCATAATAAGGACTCCGCCCCAAATTAGTATTGGTAATTTCTATGGGCCCCCATGATTAACCAATTAGTATGGGTAGTGTCAGCCCGTGGTCACTCCGCCATCCTTCAGCACCACATCGGTAGCTCTCTAAACTAGGGTCCCCTAACCCGAAAGAACCCGTATTTAGGGTTTAGGGTTTAGGGTCTGGAAACCGAAATAGGTCCCTTTAAGGAGCCCAAAAAGGGGCCCTGGTTTAGAGAACTGCCCATGTAGATTGGTTACTGGTGGCACTTGGAAGCCTTTGGAGACTGACGTAACTCATAGGGCCTTAAGATTTAGAGTTTAGAGTAGGGTCTTGGGGCATGTTATAAGTAAATAGTATGACTACAAGGTAAGGAACCCCAGGCATAAGATTGGTAGTTACTTAGACTTCTATATTAACTCATGCTATCACTAAGGCACAATGTAAACCGGCGCTAAACCCCAAAGCCTAAACCTTCCCGGAAGAGGCACGTGGTCCGCAAGACAAAGCAAGCAACAAATGTCCCTGAAGTTGCGCACCCGACAAATCTACGTACACACCACTCAGTCAAACTGAGGGGTTGGGGCGGCTTGGGGTTTGGGGTTACGATGCTGCCTGTCTTTGCTAGTTGCTCACGAGATCGGTACATCCGGGTGGAGGGAGGACAGGATCTTCACATGTGAAGCTCTGCCGCACATAATTAGACCTGCCGTCTGGCGAGATTATTCCTATTTAGCCGCACATGTCGACAAAAAGCTGAATCTTTCACTAGCTACACGACGCATATATGGGTAGTTCTCTAAATTAGGGTCCCTTTCTAGGTCTCCAATATAGTACGGCACCCTTATAAAAGGACCCCCAAAGGGACCCTAATTTAGAGAACTACCCATATGTCGCATCCACCAATCCCGATGGCAATCTGAGATAACCGTGCCAGGCAAACAGACAGCATGGCGAGCATGGCAATCAGGGTGCAGAGGCGGCCTGGGTCAGGGCTTTACCCATAGGCCCCATAGTAGTTCCTTTTTGGGGTTCATATTTAGAATCCTATGAGGTACTCCCAAAGGGGCCCATGGGTAGCCTTTAGGATTTAGGGTTGGGTGTGGGCTCCACGGTGTCCTGCCATGGCTGTCGCTATCATGCTGACTAACAACCCATGCGGAAGTCTGAAATGAAGAACGTACACGATTCTCGCGCTGCCAGCCGACGAAAAGCTCTCATTTGCTACCGAAAGCCGACTTCCTTCACAGGACTGCTGACCCGACGACGGAGACAGCCATCATGATCATGACGATGACGATGACACTGGTGCTGCTGATGATCATGATGGTGGTGGTGGTGGTGGTGATGATGAAGACACCGCCGCTGACCAGATACATGAATGTACTGGCAGTAGCTAAGTATGGTCATCATGCTGTTGTGACTGCTGCTGATTGGATGTCTGTCCTATCCTGGCTGCTGATGTCTTGGGTTATTGGTGATTTACTGATGCTGATGGTCGTGGCGATGAAGCTGATCAGGGCCATGGCGGTGACGATAACACTGATTAGTTTATGATTTAAACGGTGGTGGTCATGGCGGGTGTGACGAGGCAAATGAAAAGAATGGCTCGCCTCAGCTATGCCACGGATCGCAGGCCTAGCCAACAACCCCCCCTCAACAAATGGACAAGCTTGCTGGAAACACTCCGCACCACACTGATACCAATCTCTTCTGACCTTAGACCCAGGCTCAGGTCACCAAATCCGGAACACCTGAAATAATGCAAAGAGGAAGTCTGCTGCAACCTGCAAACCCAAGATAGGGGCCTTAATGATTAGAACAGGGTTTTGGGGTCCTTCATCGCAAAAGTATAATCAGAACCACCCCAAGATTAATGTAATTAGGTAGTTACTCAGGCCTCTATATTCATCGGCCCTGAACCCAAAACAACACCCAAATCTGGAGCTCGAAGTCAAAACTTCCAAACCTTTATAGAACCATTCTGTATAGAAACCTGCGAACTACAACTTATGGTCAAGATGAAACCATACTACTAGCAAAAGGCATGCTAGTCATAATCATAGTCATAATACTATAGATACTAATAAGTCCAGGGGAACCGTAGAAACAGCAATAGTAACGCCCTGAAACTCTATTCAGGCCCCCCATCTGGGGGTTTCCGAAAGTATCCGACCGTAATATAGCACCCTAAATAATAGGTTCCTTATCTTAAGGACCCCAAAATAAGGTACCCCTTATATCCAGGCCCCCCCACTAAACCCTAAACCCTAAACCCATATTCTCGCCGAAGGGACCCAGGTCTCGGAAGTCAAAACGCCGACGCGGCTCCCCCCGCGGCAACACCTTCGTTCCTGGACTCTCGCTGCTCTTAAAGGGTGCCTTTAAGGAAAGTTTGAGACCCAAGGCTTTAGTTTGATTTAGGGTTTAGGGTTTAGGGTTTAGTTTAGGGCTTTAAATTCGGGGCTCTTTGCGAACCCAAAAGGTCCGAACTACCGGTATAGTAGAATGTAGAGTTTCTATAAAAGGTATTGCTATTATGATTGGGGGAAATAGCCCCCCTAACGTTAAACGGTACCAAGAGGACCCGCTGAGGAAGGTTATATCCATTGGGGTCGATGGTTTATTGGGGCTACGAATTGCAGGTGTAGGGCTTCCAGGGACTAAGGCTTTTGCGGTTGCAAGTTCAGGACTTTTTCAGGTTTGAGGCTTACGGCGTTAAGGCTTTAGGGCTTTGGTGTTGAGGGTGTTAGGGTTTAGAGTTGAGAGGGGCGGAGAAGGGTTGAAATGGGGTGAGGGCTCAAGGTTTCTAGTGCCGTGGAGGCTTACAGCTACCCTGAACCCTCAACCCCTAAGCCCTAAACTCCTAAACCTGTAAACCTGTAAACCCCTGAACCCCAAGAAAAGGGTGTTGCGGGCACCCCCCGCAGAACTGAGATCTTTAGGGTTCAAAGCCTTGGATTCGGATGCGGTTTAGGGTTAAGGATTTTTTTTGTTTAAAGCTCTTTTCCGCGTGCATGTGGGTACCGCCTACGGAAGCCTACTGGAAACGAGCTGAATTCGGCTCCCACGCATCCCCTCGCTTGCAGGAGCCATGATAGGATTTAGGGTTTAGCGTGACCCCAAGCACTACGGTTTAGGGTTTAGGGTTAATTTGAGCTTTAGGTTACTGGGTTTCGGAAAGGGGGGGGGTTCGGTTTGGAGCCGTTTTTGCAGGCTTGAAGGGCTTGGAGCTGTCGCGTTGAAGGATCTTTGATGAGGGCTTTAGAAGTTTAGGCCTTGAGGGTTCAGGGTTTAGGGTGTAGGGGTTAGGGTTTAGGGCGTAGGGTTTAGGGTTGCAGGTGTCGGGTTTAGGGTTTAACGCGTAGGGTTCAGGGTTTAAGGTGTAGGGTTTAGGGTTTAGGGTGTAGGGTTTAGGTTTTAGGGTCTAGGGTTTGGGGTTGAAGGTGTAGGGTTTAGGGTTTAGGGCTTAAAGCAAAGAGCCCTAGGAGAGCAACCTGGGGGTCTGAAGGGACCCGACACCCTGTCTTGGACCTACCGGATACCTTAACAAAAACACCGCATGAATCTGAGAAGGGGCTTAGGGTTTTAGGGTGTAGGGGTTTATAGGGTTTAGGGTTTATAGGGTTTAGGTTTCGGGCCTTGAAACCGCAACCACTTTCCCGTCTGTTTCAGATGACCCGCTTCAGGACAACACTCTGGGCAAGGTGATCGGAAACGCGGCGACGCTTCTCTGCACCAAGAATCCCCTGAGTAGACAAGATCTCAGAATCCAGAACGCTGCCTTGCCTCTCCAATGTAGTTCCCTTTCTGGCTAACCAGCTTTATACCATATACTTATAGGGTCACGACCTAAAAACTAGCTTACCAATAAAACTGCTTTCAAACAGTTTCGGAGCCCAGGCCCCGAGATCCTGAACCCTGAACCGGTAGTAAATGATCAACCGAAGCTTGGCTCACCCTGACCTTCCAAAATCCCTTAGTTGAGGAAGGTACCTACATTCATAGTAGGATCCCGAAAATGATTCAGGGAATGTTGTCTTAGTCAAAGCATTTTGGAATCTGGACACTATTATCGAACCCTGGTAGAACCCATATTGTTTATACAATCTCTTCTGTCGTCCCAGAGTCCCGGCAGTGCGCAGAGGCAAATGCCGAAAGAACACATTGCCATGAAAGCGAGGTAGCTGGGCAGACCTGCATCCGGACTCTTGAGACACTAATAGGGTGGTATAGGAGCTACAAGGGCTCTAGGGGTGCATAGGGTATCATAAGGGTTCTATATATGCAGGTTTTCCTGGGCGTCTACAATGAACCCGAACCCTAAACCCTAAGAGAAGGAGAAACGAGACCTCCACGAAAACACCCACATGTGCATCGCCTGGACCCCTGGGCTTGCTGAAGACGTGGACCCAAAGAAGAGCCCAAAGCCCGCCAGAGGTGGCCAATACTGCCTTGGCATACCTGCGACCAGGGAAGGGGGAAGGGCGGTTAGGGTTTAGGGTTTAGGGTTTAGGGACTTGCTGCCAGCCAAGGAAGCATGATGCACGCCAGCGCATGCAGTGACAGATCCGTAGACCTGAACCTTAAGCTCCTCCTCTATGCCCCCTAAACCCCAATCGCTGAAATGGAAGCCAAACCGGGCAGGCGACCCGACCACACCAGCGCGATTGTCCGGGAACGACTCCGAGCAGGCCATGCCTGAAGGGAATGGCTTCTGGTGATAATGGGATGATGATGATGGTGGTGGTGATGGTGGTGAGGATAACGACGACGAGGATGACATGACGAGGACGAAGACGGGGACGATGCCGAGGATGATGACGAGGATGATGGCGAGGATGTTACTGATGACGATGATTATGGTCATGATGATCAGGATGTTCATGACGACGAAGATGGATGTTAGGATGAGGATGATGTTCAGGAGAATGACCATTGCTGTCATCGCGATTGCTAACAGGCTCATAACTTCGGTGAATCTCAGCCAAGATTCCTGATCGATGCCAGGCGACTCTTGTTAGTTCAAAGGTCTGGGGTTGGCGATGAGAATTCATTCCATGTCATGTCTTCCTAAATTCATCTTCCTCCGTGACCGGTGACTTAGACCAGGTCAGGAGGTGCATGTAACAGAACTGTTTAAGGGATCCTATGAGGCCTACAGTACGAGTTGCTATCACGGTTACGTTGAGGGTTACTGTTAGGGTTTCTATACGGCCTATTCCCGGATGACGCTTTCCGAGTAATTACCTGAATCTGGTCCGTGCAGAATAAGGTACACTGCTTGCTTTCAACAACTCCATGCCAGCAATGGGCCAGCACAATTTGTCTTAAGGAGGATTCTCAAAAGAAAGCCGCGATGCAAACGATGTTGTCCAGCAGAGACACACCGCCTGGTCAAGACCAGATTGCCAACACGGAATGCGCACTCCTAGATCGGACAAACAAACAAGTTGGTGCCTGTTGGGGGCTTGCAAACTCGGTCCCCAACGCCTCCGCCCGTCTAGCAACTGCTGAGGTCCGCTCTTCATCCCTAAACCCTAAACCCCAACCCCCCCCATAGAAGGGTCCCTGGAATGAATACTACTCGAACTCCAGGTCTGCATCTAGTAGTCTCAGAGAGTATGCAACACCCGTCGTTGAATTGGAGGCACACAATGGTTATTGTTTTTATTATCAATATTGACATTCGTATGAAGATCATGCTTAGTTTGGTCTTGTTTATTATGATTAAGTTTATTAGTATTCTTGTTAATGAACCATTCCGACCCCAACAATTAGGGACACTCCAGCGAGCTGTTGACAGCACTGGCGATTCACAAAAAGATGGTACATATCGGCCCAATTGTGCCAAAGCCTGGTTTAAATCCTTACAACAATCACTTTCCAGATGGGCGCCTGAAAGGGAACCTTCAGTTAGCAAAGCCTTCCATATACGCGTGGAAATTATGCATGCGGATGGGCTTGGTGGGGAAGGTCGCATAGAACTGGATCTGTCAATAATCGCCCCACATGACAACGAGTGCCCAGCTGCTATATCCAGCTGCCAGAGATCCGACGGCAGCAAGCACTACTTTCCTGACACAGTGGGGCATGGATCCGGGGAGTCTTCTTACATCCTCTGTGAAAACACCGGGAAGAACACATGTGGCGACGGGTTTTTGATTGGTGAAGCTCATGGGTTCAAGCTGAAGAACCTCCAGCAGACAACTTGACCCAACATCCCGCGCGAACAATGGGTCATGACAACAACAAGATAGCAAAGAGAAGATCAACTACAGGACAAGGAACCTCAACAGTAGCAACATGCAGCAATCCGGATAGGCACCACTCACCGAATATCGAACACCTCGTTGATACCGGTCACTTTAAATTCTACGGCCACTGATGGTAATTACTGTCAACAGTTGCACCTTCTATGGTCACTGAGAAGTAATTACCTTTTCTTTGCCGCCGGGTAGCATTGTTTGGCTAATGCTGCCCCCAGCAACCGTAGCCAGGCCCATGAGAGAATAACCGATGGCCATGAAAGAGCTTCCTCGCAATTTTTCTGGCTTCTTTGAGCTGAACTGTTTCGGGCACTGCCGTTCTCACGTGAGGGCTTTCTTATTGACAAATGGTTGTGTCCTGGCCCCATTGGCAATGCCATGATGATTGAAGCTGCACAGTTGGGCTAAACGAACTGAATGACGACAGCTGCCCAAGTGAACGCCGGGATTGCGCACATCAACTTCAACTTGTAAACACACCCTAAACGTAAAGTGTAGACCCAAACACAGGATGGACATTCAGCAAAACGACGGGGAATATGCGTTGATGTTGTCTGCAATATAGTCCTGTCGCAACTCACATCGTTTGCTTCTCGCTTCTTCATTTGTCGGTTTCAATGGTTTGCGGCTACGAGACATCGGTCTACCTACGTGGGTATCGTTTGTAAGGATGGTGGTTCGTACCTTTTGGTCGTTCAACTCCCATGTCCAAAAAAAAGTTGCTGTCAATACCATCAACCCGCACCAGCGCATAGACAAGCCGCCATGGCAGTGTCGCAACCCATTTAAGCTAGAAATCTCGGCGAACCGTCTACTTTTGTCGCCGGATCGGGAACGAACGTAACTCGTTGCGATGCATTGGGGCGTGGTAAACAGCATGTGGCATATACAGTTGCGATGTTCTATGTATATATGCTTACATGCATAGATATGCATAAATACAAATATAAACACATATGTGCGTAAACATACATGTATGTTTGCGTGCATGCATGTATGTGCTTTATGCATGTATCCATGCAGTGGAAGCATACTATGTATGTGCTCGCCAAATTTGGTTTTGCTTGCCATGTACGTGCGCGTCCCCGTCCGTCAGTGTGTGTGTGTGTGTGTCTGTGTGTGTGGAAATCCTGTATCTAAGGACGTTGAGTGTAAAGAAAAGCAGGGGGCTGGCAGCCTATTCCGTGATGCCAGCCAACGAAGCTAGCGGAATGGGTGGAAAGAACTATGGACGCATAGCTCTGTACCTGCCGCAAGTTTCACCGTAGTGCTGTTATAATTAGAGATGTTTTATCTGGCCTTGAGATCCAATTATCGTCTGATTATACTTTTTTGGATGCTGTAGGTTCGTTTCATCTTCTGAATTGCAAGGTTTCGAGACTCCCATTACTAGTTAAAAAAAGTAGATAAAGATTTTGAGACAAAATAAATCGAGGAAGGAAAGGAGATGAGAACGAAGGAGACAACCGGCACGGACCGGGATCTACCTGTGTGTTGTTCGGCTGGTAATTCTGACAAAGGGCCAGTCGTCAAGGATGCAGAGCATCCCCTCCCAAGCATACCCGACATGAAACTTGATCA